TGGAAAACGGATCCGCGACAGCAATTTAAGTATGGCACTAGTGAAACTCGAATCGAGCAGTAGCGGAGAGCGTGCTGATAGCATATGAGCGGCGTATACATTTTACACGAAATGATTACAAGGCTTCAGTCAAGACATGAGTACTAGAGTCCATTCAAACTCAATCACAAGGATTACAATAAACGGCTATATAAGGTATTTTCATTTAATATACCAAAGCCTCTAATGTTAAACAAGTTACAAAAAACCAGAAAATATTCTATGATCTATAATCACTCACATCTATTCCTCTAAACAGAATTCCTCTGAGAAGTGGTTCTTCAATTTTGTTTACATCTTCTCTTCAGAAATTATACACTGAGCCTTATAAGTATTAAAACTCCAATCTTCCTTGTGTGAGTTTCTAGAAAAAACCAGAGCTTTCATTTTTATATCTATTCTTGAGAGATAATTATTGTAAGCTTTCTGTGAAAGTAAAAACACCTTCTTTTCAAACCTTGTAAAAGTTAGTACTACTCAGTGTTTCTTTGACTTAGAAAAGTCTGTGTAAAATCTGTGGAGATTGCTCCATCTGTGACAAAGGTTGCTAGACACCTGTACAAGCTAGAAGATAGTGAGAAAACTCAAGCGAAGCTTGAAGATGGAATGTAGGCTTGGTTGAAGCCGAACCACTATAATCTGTTTGTCTCCCTCTTCCCCAATCCGCTTTAACTTTTCGCCTACTTACTGCTATATGCTATCTAATATTCCATGTGGTAATCATTTGATTTACCGCTGTACTGTTTTAGTTATACTTCATTGTTATTTTGCTTGATTAGAGGCTGAGAGCGATCCTAAGCTGCACAATCTCAAGAGCGATTCCACACAGGTCTTCGCAGGACATCATTACTAATTTGAATATCTTCCACTCCATCATTACAAATTTGAATATCTTCCACTTGAACCTTTTGAACCTTTTGGTCTGCTACTGTGCTAGGCTGTTTGAATCTTTGTTTTGGGCTGTTTGAACTCCTGATTTAATCAAATATTAAATACATTCTAACAACATTTAGGATAAAGGTTTAGGTGAGAAATAATGGGACAAAATAAATTTTGATTCTATTTTTCTCTTTCAAATAAATCATCAAAATAAATTTTGATTCTATTAAAATATAATTAAATAAATCATCAAAATAAATTTTGGATTCTATTTTTCACTTTCAAATAAATTAAAACATAATTAAACAAATCATCAACATAAATAAGTCTAACAGTGAAGCTTGTATAAAATGCATATACTTTGTTAAGAATTCTCTACTGGGCTTTATGCTCACCCCTATGGGATTTCGGTGCAGGAAAAGATGTAGTGATCCTACCGAGTTAAGGGTGTGGACGTGTTTTATGGAGAGCAAGTGGCCCTTATTTTTGTCGTGGTATATTTTGTTAGACAAGATCTATAACTGTATGGGTTCCAGAGACTATTTTTGTGTAACCAAGCCTAAGCCTTGGAATTTGTAAGCCCTTGAGGGCATTTATTTATTTATTTTTGGAATTAAGGTTCTACATGCTATAGATTCATGTACTTGATATCATTGAATATATAATTCGCATGTAGAACTGTTTTGTACAAACCTTACTGATCAGATGTAAAGGTTGAAGAATCACACTTTTTCTTATAATGAATGTTGGTTGTTGTACTTATATGATGTTATAATTTTTATGGCGTTATAGCTTGGTATCAGAGCTACCGGGTTTGAATACTTGGAGCTCGTGGGAAGTGGTTGTTTTACCACAGGGGGTTCATCTTGCATGATTAGGAAATGTTTTGTTTTTTGTGACTATATGATAGCACGTTTATATGACTAAATGGGTATGGGATTGGACTTTTGGGATGCTGTTTACGCTTGTTAAATTCCTTGAGGTCTTATTAGAAGGGTACTTGATCAATACTCATTCTACTAAGAATTCTGGGTTTTTCGTGGGACGAATTTCATCGTAAAGGTATAATCCGTATGTGTTTATGTGACTAAGTGCTTATGTGGAGTGAAACTAGATTGTTTATATGGTAGAGAATTATATAGAATTGTTGTGGTCAAACATGTGAGGCAAATTGTGAGCACATGTGGGTTCATGTGCTAAATTATCTCTCTTGTTCCTTATTAGGATGTCAGGAAGAGGTCAAGGTCGTGGTGGTAGAGGCGGGAGGTATGGTAGGGCTTGTCGGGGTGTACATGAAGTACCGGTCCATGAGGTTCCGGTGCAAGAGGAAGGGTTCGACCAAGCCAATGCGGCTGGGCAAGCAGACCAAGCTAATGTGGCCGAACAAGTGGGGCAAGCGGAAATTCTGAGACAAGCGGGCCAAGCCGCAATGGAGGCCCTAGCCCGAAAAATGACGGGGGCTTTGAGGGAATCAATGAACATGTTAAGGGTGGAGAACCAAGCCCAAGAGAATGTCGTAGAAATAAGGGCGAGTTTTCTCACTAGGGAGTTTTTGCGGGCCAAACCGGATGAGTTCCATGGTGGCCTCGAGCCTAAGAAAGCGGATGAGTGGCTTGAACAAACAGTGAAGACATTCGAGATGCTTCACATTGAGGATAGCGAGCTAAGGGTGACTCTAACTAGTTACTGCCTCAAAGGGGATACGGGCCAATGGTAGAAATACGCCAAGGGTAGGGTGGAGCCGATGTGGAAAGCTTTTGTGGTTGCTTTCCAAGATAAGTATCTACCTCTCACTGCTAGGGAGAGGTTGAGGCAAGAATTTCAAGATCTCAAGTAACTCAATATGTCCGTGGCCGAGTTTGAGACGGCCTTCTCTAGTTTGTCCCGGTTTGCACCAAAGTTGGTGGCAATGGAAGAGCGCCGTTGCATTGAGTTTGAGAAGAAGTTGAGAATCAAGATCTTGTTCAAAGTTGCAAGAAACATGATCTGGAACTATAATTGCCTTGTAGAAATAGCAGCACATGTGGAGATTACAGTACAAGCCGAGGAGAAATGAATTCAGGGTTCGAGGTCTAAAGGCCAAGAGTCACAGGGAGATTTTAGAACTAATCAGAAGAACAGGGACAACTTTTCATCCCACTCTCAATCACAGCAGTCTAGATCCACATTTCCCTTGCCTAGTGCGGGCCTGGGGAAGAGCACATTGGGTAGTTTCTCATGCTTCAAGTGTGGCCAACCGGGTCACAAGGCCTTTTCATGCCCACAGAAGGGGGGAGGATAGCAGATGTTGCCACCACCACCACCACCACCTAACCAATCCCAGAGTCAGTCCCAGAATAGAGGGCAAGGACTTACTTGTTTTCAGTGTGGTCAGCCAGGGCATATGAAGAGAGTTTGCCCGCTGTTGGGAGGCGTATCAGGGTCGAGGCAAACTCAGAGCCACCAACAAGCTCATTCAGTTCAGACATCGCGAGCTTATCAGAGAGCTACTTCGGCTCAGTCAGTGCAGCAGGCCTATGCTCCGAGAGATGATCAGGTGGATCAGAGGCCACAGGGGCGCGTATATGCTGTTACCACACCAGAGCAGTTACCAGGATCCTCAATTATGAGAGGTATTTTTGTTGTGTGTACTTATTTGGCTAATATGTTAATAGATACGAGTGCATCTCATTCATTCATGTCTACTGCATTTGCTTCTGCATTGGGGTTAGAGGTGGCACGGTTAGCATCTCTGCTCAAAGTAGAGTCACCAGTTGGGTGTATGGTTGACTTAGACTAAGGATGTCATGGTTGTGAGATAGAGGTTGCCAGGCGTTGACTTCCGTTTGCTTTTGTGTTGCTAGACATGTTGAGTTTTGATATTATTCTAGGCATGGATTGGTTATCTTCATACCGAGCTGTGATTGACTGTTATTGTCAAAGAGTTACAGTGTGTACCTCGATTGGTGGTTGTTTTTATTTTCTGGAGGATCGGGTTGATGGGGTCTTATCACTAGTTTTTGACCCTCGTAGTAGGAGCAAGCTTAGTGGCCTTCTTGCAACTCTCTTGGATAGTGAGAGTGATGGGGCTCGTGTTGAATTGCCAAGGGTAGTTTGTGAGTACCCGGATGTTTTTCCCAAGGATTTTACTAGTTTGCCACCCCACCAAGAGATCGAGTTCTCCATTGACTTAGTGCCTGGCACGACACCGATTTCCATAACACCGTATAGATTTGCACCCACCGAATTACATGAGTTAAAGATTCAACTCCAAGAGCTTTTAGACAAGGGGTTCATTCGCCCTAGTACGTTACCCTGGAGAGCGCCGGCCCTCTTTGCAAAGAAGAAGGATGGGTCATTGCGGTTGTGTATCGATTACCACAAACTGAACCGAGTTACAGTTAAGAACAAGTATTCTTTACCCAGAATAGATGATTTGTTTGACCAACTTAGAGGGTCTCGCTACTTTTCAAAGATAGATTTGAGGTCACGGTATCATCAGTTGAGGGTCCGAGAGGAAGACATCCAGAAAACGGCCTTTCGCACGTGTTATAGCCACTATGAATTCCTTGTAATGCCTTTTGGGTTAACTAATGCACTGGCTTCCTTTATGGATTTGATGAACCAAATTTTTCAAGAGTATTTGGATCGTTTTGTGGTCGTCTTTGTGGACGACATCTTAATTTATTTAACTTCCGAGGAGGAACACGAGGCTTACTTGGGGGTAGTACTTGATTTGCTTAGAGAGCACTAGTTGTATGCCAAATTTGAGAAATGCGAGTTTTGGCGCACCGAGGTGAAGTTTTTGGGTTATGTGGTGTCAAGGGAAGGGGTAACTGTAGACTCCTCAGAAATAGATGCCATGCAGGATTGGGAATAACCCATAAATGTCTTTGAGATCCAGAGTTTCTTGGAATTAGCAGGGTATTATTGACGTTTTGTAAGGGACTTCTCTAGACTAGCCGCGCCGTTGACTAGGCTGATTGGAAAGGGTGTCAAATTTGTATGGAGTGAGATTTGTGAAGGTCATTCCAAGAACTTAAAACTAGATTGACTACCGCACAGGTCTTGATAATTCCAAAAAGAGGTTTGGGCTACACTATTTATTGTAATGCGTCTCGGGATGGGCTTGGTTGTGTCTTGATGCAAGGGGGAAAGGTTGTGGCCTATGGTTCATGACAATTGAAAACTCACGAGAAAAACTACCCTACCCATGATTTAGAATTAGCAGCGGTAATTTTTGCCTTGAAAGTTTGGAGACATTATTTGTATGGCGAGAAGTTTGAGGTTTTCTCTGATCATAAGAGTTTAAAATACTTATTCTCTGAAAAAGACTTAAATTTATGCCAACATAGGTGGATGGAATTTATGGAGGATTATGACTTTGAGTTACACTATCATCCAGGAAAGGCCAATGTAGTGGCCAATGTCTTAAGTCGGAAATCCGTGAGTAGTTTAGCAAGTGTGGCCATTCGGAAATGGGTTATGCTAAGTGATATTGGCAAGTTTGATTTTCACTTGGGTGAGTCCGGTGAGAATGCAACCTTGTTTACTTTGAGTGCCCAACCAACCTTGACTAGTAAAGTCATAGAGGCGCAACAAGGGGACTGTGAAGTGGAGTCAATCCGAGATAGAATTTCCAACGGAAGAAAGATAAGGGTTTGAACATTCACTCGGATCTAAGTGTACGTTATCTAGACCGTTTGTTTGTACCAGAATCTTGTAGAGAAGAAATACTTCGGGAGTTCCATCATTCACTCCTTGCGATACACTCGGGAGGCACTAAAATGTATCATGATCTTAGGTTTCAGTTTTGGTGGAGGGGTATGAAATGGGATGTCGCTTTATTTGTATTGAAGTGCCTTACTTGTCAACAAGTGAAGGCCGAACACCAAAGACCAGCGG